CAACCTCTGCCTCCTGGGTTCAAGCAATTCTCCTGCCTCAGCCTCCCAAGTAGCTGGGATTACAGGCACGTACCATCATGCCCAGCTAATTTTGTATTTTTAGTAGAGATGGGGTTTTTGCATGTTGGCCAGGCTGGTCTCGAACTCCCGACCTCAGGTGATCCACTCTTGTTTTTTTCTTAAGCGAACATTGATGAAGAATTTATTACACATTTGAGCTCTGTGACCGTTCCTCATTCAGTCCTCACCACAGCCTAGGAGGGGGCTGCTATCACTAACCACATTTGCAAGGTGAGAAACTGAAGCTCACACAAGCTTAAGACTTGTCCAAGGCGCCGGGCATGGTGGCTCACACCTGTAATCTTGGCACTTTGGGAGGCCCAGGCAGGAGGATAGCTTGAGCTCAGCAGTTCAAGACCAGTCTAGGAAACACAGTGAGACCCTCTCTTTACAAAAAAAAAAAAAAAAATTAAAAAATTAGCCAGGCATGGTGGCACATGCCTGTGGTCCCAGCTACTCAGGAGGCTGAGGTGGAAGGATTGTTTAAGCCTGGGAGATTGAGGCTGCAGTGAGCTATTATTGCCTGGGCAATTGAGCAAGTTCCTGTCTCAAAAAAAAAAAAAGAAAAAAAAGAAAGAGAGAGACTTGTCCATGGTCCCACAACTGGTGGTAATGGCAAAGCTGAGACTCAAGTCCAGGTCAATCTGGATCCAGAACCGAGCCATATTGTGGTGGGAATCAAATAGGAGAACGGGAGTGGAAATGCTTCTAGGTACAGAGATGCAGTGCCGGCTCGGGGAATCATCACCAGGGTTGTCTTTACTGTGTCGCTTGCCGGGCTGTGTTTCAGATGCCATCAGGTGGACAACCTGAGAACCTGTGCTGGGGAGGAAACTGGGGGGATATCATATGAATATGGCTGGCTTCTCTCCCCCCACCCCAAACTGAGCAGTCCAATCCAGTCCTGCGAGGTGTCCACGCTGTGCCAAGACCCTGAGGCTCTAGCCCTTGGCCCAGGTGACTTCCTGTTTTCAGGATGATTTCTGACAGAGCTTCCCTGCCTGTGCTTAGGCATTATCTTATGTAATCCTCACCTCGGTCCTATAAAGACACTTCTCTTTCTCTCCCCAAGCGATAAACGAGGACGCTGAAGTCTTGGGAGAGGGCGTGGCCAAGGCTCTCAGCCTCCAGCTACGCTGCAGGGACCACCAGAAGAGTAAGATCAGGTCTCAGCCTTCTTCCAGCAGAACGCAGAACAGTGTAAAACTGTTCCCTTTTCCCTCCATCTCCTGGGGAGAGAAAGGATGTACTCAGTCCTCACTCCATGCAGCAAAGACCTCAAATGCCAAGGAGAGACAATGACAGACAAGGGCAGATTAATGGGGGAGGAACTGCATAGTGGAGACAGGGCCGAGCAGGGAGGAAAGGATTCCCCAGCAGGCGAGGGAGTGAAGGCTGCTGGGGCCCCATCCAGTCGGGGAGGATGTGGGTGAGCCCGTGAGCAGAGGTGACTTCGTGGTTCGGTGTCCCGTGAGCTTCACGGCTTTTCCTCCCCTCCCCCACGTGCTCCCACTGCCCAGAGAGGAGGTCTCTGATCTTCTGCTCATACAGTGAGTCAAAGACAGCTTTTCCCACTCCCCTACCCCCACCACCCCACCCATCTCTCAGCAGCTCCTTTGCCTCCCTAGAGGTTGAGGCCACCCCTAAGTTCCTCTTTGAGAGCCACAGCTGTGTTCACGGTGTTGCCTCCATCCAAATTCATTGAGTTTGTCCTCTGTGTCTCTCCCTGGGTCTGTTTGGGTCCTGGAGACTCTGATGGAGCTGGGAGCTGGGGAATAGAGCCCACTGAGAGCAAGGGAGGAGCCAGAGGCTGCTTCACCGACCTTCTGTAGCCCTCCCTCCCTTCCAATGGGCCCATTTGACAGATGAGGCCACCAAGGCTTAGACACAACAGGCAGAGACAGGAGTCAAACCCAAGTCTGTCTTCCCACTACTTTCTACCAGTTTTTCCCACCAGGCAAGGAGATGTTCCAGAAGGTTCACATCATTAGAAGGTCTTAATGCCTGTTTCCATTTTTTAAAAAATTAGTGAATAATTATTGTAATGTTTAAAAGATATTTTTCTCAATGTGAGATCTTCCTAGGATAAGTGGAAGAATCAAATCTGGCAGTTATAGCCAGGCATCGCTTGAGCCCAGGAATTCAAGGCTGCAGTGAGCTGAGATTGTGCTACTGCACTCTAGCCTGGGTGACAGAGCAAGATCCCTATCTCCAAATAAATATTTAAAAAGGGATAATCGGCCAGGCATGGTGGTTCATGCCTGTAATCCCAGCACTTTGGGAGGCCCAGGCGGGCAAATCATGAGGTCAGGATATCAAGACCATGCTGGCCAACATGGTGAAACCCCATCTCTACTAAAAATACAAAAATTAGCTGGGCGTGGTGGCACATGACTGTCATCCCGGATACTCAGGAGGCTGAGGCAGGAGAATTGCTTGCATCAGGGAGCCAGAGGTTGCAGTGAGCTGAGATAGTGCTACTGCAGCCTGGTAACAGAGGAAGACGCCATCTCAAAAAAAAAAAAAAAAAAAAAAGCAGCGATAGTTAGTGGTGATAGAACAAACTATCTCATGACTCACAACCAGGCAATCAGTCATTCAGCCACAGCTTTGGCTGATACATGGCTTTACATCGTTTTTGCTCTTAATCTGATATCATTTAATTTATACACTTACTGAGCCAATGATTAAAGACAGCATAAGAAACTGATGTCAAAAATACAAGGAAGCTGGGTATGGTCACTCACGCCTGTAATCTCAGCACTTTGGGAGACTGAGGTAAGCGGATCACTTGAGGCCAGGAGTTTGAGAGCAGCCTGGCCAACATGGTGAAACCCCATCTCTACTAAAAAAATACAAAAATTAGCCAGGTGTAGTGGCAATGCCTGTAATCCCAGCTACTTGGGAGGCTGAGGACGGAGAATTGCTTGAACCTGGGCAGCAGAGGTTGCAGTGAGCTGAGATCACACCCTGCACTTCAGCCTGGGCAACAGAGCAAGACTCCATTTCAAAAAAAAAGAAAAGAAAAGAAGAAAAGACAAAATATGAGGAAATGACGGTGTTAACTCCTCTGCAGATTTGCTTCAAGATTCTTTTTTCTCTCTTTTTTTTTTTTTTGAGACAAGGTCTCCCTCTATCACCAGGCTAGAGCGTAGTGGCGCGATCTCAGCTCACTGCAACCTCCGCTTCCCAACCTCTGCCTCCTAGGTTCAAGAGATTCTCCTGCCTCAGACCCCCATGTAGCTGGGATTACAGGTGCATGCCACACACCTGGCTAATTTTTTCGTATTTTTAGTAGAGATAGGGTTTCACCATGTTGGCCAGGCTGGTCCTGAACTCCTGACCTCAGGTGATCTGCCCACCTTGTCCTCCTAAAGTGCTGGGATTACAGGAGTGAGTCACCATGCTCGGCTTGCTTCAAGATTCATAAATTACATTTATCTGATCAACTTTCTTATATGGCATATTAGAGAAATCCTAGTACTTCACAACATTTCAAAGGTTGGTAAGAAGAGAGAATAAGATGTATTCTATCTTTTCCTGTACTGGGCATAAGAGATCTACACCTGCAAGGCATATACAGAGAGGCATGCAAATAGGGCCCTGAGACAT